ACGTCATCGTTTCGAGCTGAACCTGGCGCTTCATTCGCACCTGATTACCTCCCTCCCAAACCAAGGCCCTGTTTGGCAGGGGCATGAGCATCTAGGCTCGGGAATGAGCGCTGGTTTGGGAGTGGGGAGTGGAGCGCATCTTCCCGTCAAGGGTATTCCACATCCTTCTTCCGAAGTCTCCTGATTAGTTACTGGTACTTCGCGACCTCATCATTTACCTTCAGATTCCGCGCCCGCATTTAGTACACTGCGCGGTCGCAGCGTTGCACGTCTTCTGCCATTATGGCGACATTCGGGGCGGTTGAAGATAGAAATTGAGCTGATTAGGGTTTGGCGGGCAACGTAGCTTATATTTAGAGCAGTTAGTTGTTCTTCTAGCCTCGTTTCCAAGCTGTGCTAAGGATCATAACGGCGCCCTTCACTGTTCATCGGCACATTGCATCCTGTGGGAACACCGCCCTGTTAGTCTTCGATGGCTGCTCACCAGCGGAATGAAGTTCCTCCGTTGGCGAATCTCGCCAACCGCGTCGCCCTCCTGCTTCTTGCTTTCGCCGTGCTGAGTTCGCGAAGAGCGGAGGCGCAGGGCGAGCCGGACTGGCGCGCGGAAACGGTGTCTGTTCTTCAGCAGGTGTCGCAGCAGGCGTTTCTATCCTCGTTCGCCGCGATTTTCAGCGATTTCTGTAAGCACCATGCCCATGTCCCTCTGTAAGCACCATGCGCATGTCCCTCTGTTCGTTCTGCCCGTTCCGCACACAGCATCGTCGTGCATCCCCCTCCCCTCCACTCCAGTCGCCTCCGTTCCACCAAGCTTGTACACGTATTATCCTACCTGCGCATCCCAATTCCATGTCTTTCTTTTACTTCTGCATGCGCATCTCAATTTTATGTTTGTATATTTTTCAACCTGCACCTTCCTTCCTGCAACCCTACCTTCCTACCCCCTCCCATGCCTCCCAACATCCCCCCCTTTCTCCCCTCCCCCCAACCAATCTGCTCTCGGGCAGTGCAAGGCGGGCAGCAGCCCATCACAGCCCGCGCCACGCTGCTCGTTCCCACCAACGTGGGTCACTGGCGCTACCTCTCCCACTGGACGACCCTCTCCCCCACGCACCAGCGCCGGTTACTGCGTTACCACATCCTCCCCGGCCGCTACACCGCCCAGGAGCTCCTGGACGCGCTACCCCTCACCCTCTTCCCCACCTTCAACCACCACCTGCCGCTAAACAAAACGCTTAAGCCGGAGGAAGTGTATTTCCAGTCGGTGCCGCCGATGAAAGCTGCATCGCCGCTAAGTGTGCCGGATGCGGGGTTAACGGAGCATCTGGCTGCGCACGGTGTGACGTTTGTGCTGGAGCCACCCAACCTGGAGTGTACCACCGTGGCGTGTAACAGCAAGGCTGAGAGCATGGCGCACATGGGATAAGGCAAGAGAAGCTGCAACCCTAAATATGGGAAGCCCAGCCTACAGCTACCTGTCATATCTGCCAAGTGTTCTTACCTACAGAAGCAAGAACGATAATGGTGCAAAGCATAGAATGTGTCTCTTCGGTGCTGTAATGCCACAAAAGTGGGGTCATTGGACACATCATCCACCTTCAGTATGTTAGATTGAATGACACAGGGATTTCCTCATCTAGTCTTGCGTGCTATATTCATTTTACACAATAACGAGATATGTATGACTTTCCCGTGGGCTAATGCCAGTGTTGCCTCAGGCGGCGCTGCTTCGGGATGGCTGACGAAGTCAAACGACGCTCGTGAAACCCGCTTCGCATACTGCCGCTGGTTCCAAAGCTCCGTGGGTTCTGGGTTGCATTTTTTAAGGTCCTTTTTCTGAATCCCTAAGTGCTTGTGACGCCTCGGTATCCAATCCGTACATCTGCTAGAAGTTTCCACTCTACAGGTAAAAGCGCCACTTAGTGGGAAAGCAAGCACCGAACTGGTTGACCTACACTCGAAAGATTGCCGCCTTCCCAGACTGTCACTGCTCCTCGGAATTGCCATGTGCTTGCGGTGCATCCGCGGTAGCCATGGCGACAGCCAGGCGTCAGCAGCATGCACCGCCTCCACATACATGAGGCTCCGAGCCGTCACGCACAACTCGTTCTCTTCGATGCTGCACCTCCGTCGGATTTGTAGAACCCTCTCTCGCCCTCGTGGTCGAAATCGTGCTACTTGAGTTCTTCCTTTTAGCCATTTCGTCACCACCTCGTTTGTAGCTTCCTGCCATCGTGTCCCGAATTGATCTTCTGCGGAGGTGGTAAAAATTGCGAAGGTTTGTTACAGCACGAGCGATGCGCGGCTTACGTAAGCTTCTGCGCAAAATTACCCAGCCTCTTCCCTCTTTGACGTCGGACAGCTGAGTTAAAATCGGTCGTTTCACTACTTGAGACGGAGCACATACGCGAGCGGCAGCAGCGATGGGCGTGCTGGCGAAGCTGCTGTACATACTCGTGGAGGACGACGACGAGGGGGAGCAGCAGCGCGCGGGGAGTGGTAGTAGTAAACTCGCAGGCGAGGCAGGCGAAGCAGGCGGAAAGGGCGCGCGTGCGGCGGTGCGCTACACCAAGTCGGTGCTGTCCAGCACGCTGCAGCTCATGGGGTGCAAGTCAAGGCACGCCGTCAAGGTGAGTCCCGCCACGCCGTCAAGGTGAGACGTGTTGCACCGTGAGATCATATCATACCTACTGGGACCTGCGCGTCCGTGCCTTCGTCCCGCTCCCATGACGTTCCCGGTTTTTTCTGGTTTCGTCTTCACCTTCGCAGTCCTCACTTTCTCTCTTGCGCTCACTCGCTCCTCCCCCTCACCTCACCACGCGCAGATCAGCGAGCGGGTCTTCCAGATTCTGCTGCAGCAAGTCACCAGCCGGCGGGTTTCCGGCCATCGGACGGACGTGGCGCACCGATCACGCATGGCAAACGGATCCGACGGCATCCAGCGATTGGCCAGGCCAAACCGAGAAGACTCCGGCGCCGTTCTGGCCACCAGCGCCAGCCATGATACTCTCAGTTGCCGTGACAATAACGGCCGTGACAATAACGAGCGGGCAGAAAACAGGGCGGCAGCAGGGGGCGGGCCGAGTGCGGGCGGGGGGGCGGGGGACACAGTGAGGGGCGTGAGCGTGTCGTTGAAGCGCAGCACGTTTCTGGACGTGGTGTGCCGCGCGCTGGCGGAGTACCGCTACCTGAGCGCCGACCAGCGCAGCGACCTCGCGCTCGCCTGCAAGTGAGTGCACCGCACTAAACTGCACTGCACTGCACTGCTGCTGTTTCTGGACGTGGTGCGCCAGGCACTGGCGGAGTACCGCTTGCTACCTGAGCGCCGACCAGCACTCCGACCTCGCGCTCACCTGCAAGTGAGTGCACCACACTAAACCGCACCGTACCGCACTGCACTGCTGCTGTTTCTGGACGTGGTGTGTCAGGCGCTGGCGGAGTATCGCTACCTCAGCGCCGACCAGCGCAGCGACCTAACCCTCGCCTGCAATTGAGCCCCTGCATACCGCTCCGCACCGCACTGCGCTGCTGCACTGCACTGCTGTCCACACTGTAAAGACTACTGGGTTCTTTTGATCTGTCACTGTTGTTGTGGTGGAATTGCGTGCTGTTATTGGTGTACTTCTGAGTCCCTTTTGTGTGCTGCTGCTGCTGCTTACTGCCATGCAGGGTGCGTGAGAGGAAGATGTCAGTGACGGTGTTCCTGTGTGGCGCCAGCGGCTGTGGCAAGTCCACTCTCGCCTCCCTCCTGGTACGCTGCACACCTGCCTTCCCTGCCCTGCCTTCTCCCGTCCTTCCTCCTCCATCTTTCCCTCCTCTTTCCCTCCGTCTATGCCTCCTTTGTTACCCTTTTCTCCTCCCTCCTGTCTGCCGCCATCCATCCCTCTGCGCCAATGCCTCTCGGGTCCACCAGTTCCCTCATAGTACCATGGGTGCCTGCAAAAGCGGGGAAACCCCCTCCCCCCCTTCTGATGCTCCCTCCTGTCCCTCCTCCCCCCTACCCCATCCCCTGCAGGCGTCACGGCTGGGCATCACTCCACGGACTCTCTGCGCCACATGATGCGCGGCTTCAGCAGCAGAGAGCAGGATACTCTCTGCCACATTCCTTGCAAACCGTCGTCCTCTCTTGCGTCCTCTCCCTCCCGCTTTCCTCCCGCTCCCCGGCAGGCGTCGCGGCTGGGCATCACAACAGTGGTGTCCACCGACTCGCTGCGCCACATGATGCGCGGCTTCAGCAGCAGCGACGCCAACCCGCTGCTCTACGCCTCCACGTACCAGGCGGGCGAACACCTCGACCCCGCCGCTGTCGCCGACGCCAAGGCCAGGAAGAAGGCCGGCAAGCTGGCAGGGAAGCACGGCGGCGCACACGCCGGTGGACAAGCTGCAGCAGCAGCACAGCGAGACTGGCAAGGGAGCCGGGAGAGGCGGCTGGCAGCTGGGGAGGTTGGGCGGCAGGTGGGCCGCAGAGAGATGCCGGGCGCTGTGGGTCTGGGCGCTGGTGAGAGCAGAGGTGCGGTAGGACTGGGTTCACACGCGGGGGGCCGGGTGGGGGGAGGGCGGGTAGGCGGGGAAGGGAACAACGGGGGAGAAGCTGTGATGACAGGGAGAGGTGGGGGCGGGAGGGAGGAGAGGGAGATGGAAGAGGCGGTTTGGAACGGGCGGACAAGCGTGACGGGGCTGGAGAGGGAGAGGAGCGGGGAAGGAGGTGACGAGGGTAGAAGAAGAGATGTGGGGAGCGGGTTGGATGCTGTGAATGGGAAGGAGCCAATGAGTGAGAATGAAGGAGTGAGTGAGAGGGAGGGTGTGAGTGAGAGGGAGATGGTGATTCAGGGGTACAAGGCGCAGAGTGAGATGGTGATAGGCAGTGTGGAGCAGCTGCTGTGCAAGTGGGAGCGCTGCCATGAGTCCGCCATCGTGGAGGGCGTGCACCTCAGCCTCAACTTCGTGGTATGCAGTAGGCTTGCACGCCTGCCCTGCACTACCTCACTGCCTGCACAGCACACGCCTGCACTCACTTGCAGAGTCGCAGCTCCTCACTCACCTGCATGCGCCTGCACTCAACGAGTCCGCCATCGTGGAGGGCGTGCACCTCAGCCTCAACTTCGTGGTGCGATGCACGGCTGTGACCGCTCCCGGCCTGCGTGCCTGCACTCACTGCCTGCACTTCTGCGCTCACTCACAGCTCGATTTAGTCACTCAGCCATGGCCATCGTGGAGGGCGTGCACCTCAGCCTCAACTTCGTGGTGCGCTTTAGGCTTGTCTGCACCCCCTCACAGCTGCACACTCTTACTGGCACGCCCTCATCACGTGCACGTATGCACACCTGCTCTCACTCACAGCTCCCTGGTCTCGACTCAACGAGCCGCCCATCGTGGAGGCGTGCACCTCAACCTAACTTCGTGCTACGCTGCACACTCATGCCTGCCCCTCCCCTCATTGCCTGCGCACCTACACTCCCTCACTTCTTCCTTGTGCTGGGTGGCTGGCTTGCGTTTATCTGGAGTATTTTGCATCCCCCATGCCACCTCCATCCCCCATGCCACCTCCATCCCCCATGCCACCTGCATCCCCCATGCCACCTGCATCCCCATGCCATGCCATGGCAGATGGAGCTGTTGAAGCGGCACCCCTCCATCATCCCCTTTGTGATCTACATCGGCAACGAGGCGAAGCACATGGAGCGCTTTGCCGTGCGCGCCAAGTACATGACGCTGGACCCGCGGCGCAACAAGTACGTGCGCTACATGCGCAACATCCGCGCGATTCAAGACTACCTTGTTCGGCGAGCTGACAAACATCTGATCCCTAAGGTGGGTGGGTCGGAGTGAAAGCCGTGATGCTGAAAGCGCGCATGGATGGGGAAGAGGGAGTCCCGGACTCCCTTTTCCAACCATGCGCTCTTTCAGCCGCAAGGCTTTCATTCGAAAAGAACCTCCACGTGTCGAATCGAGTCGTGCCGGAACTGCAGGTGAGCAACGCGAACATGGTCAAGAGCGCGGCGGCCATTCACGCCACGGCGCGGTGTTAGCGTGCGTGCTGAGAGTAGCAAGCAGGGCGTCAACCCTTGTTGCTCCCCCACACCAACCCTCAACCCTTGTTGCTCCCCCACACCAACCCTCAACCCTTGTTGCTCCCCCACACCAACCCTCAACCCCCCCCTCTCCCAGGTGAACAACACCAACATGGACAAGAGCGTAGCAGCCATCCACGCCACGGTGTTTGCATGCCTGCGGCACCGTGCAGCGGGGGAGAGCATGTACAGCCGCGCCTCCAACACGCTGCCACTGCTGCGCCACGAGTACGACACGCAGTACACCGCATCTGGACTCGGCTCCAAAGGCATGCTCTACGTCATCCAGAGAGAGGGTAGCCTCCGGGAGGGCAGTCTGCCACCCTCCACCCCTGACCCCTCCGATCCTCTCTCTGGTCTGCCCACGCGGGCTGTCAGCCTCCCCACGTACGCCTTCGGTGCTAACAGCAGCAAGTCGGGTGCTCCAGGGGAGCCCTACCCTCAACGCCACGACCAGCCGTCCCTGTCAGCGGTGCCTTCCCTGCCGCCACGCTCCTTGCGAGTGTCAGAGGGCGGCGCAGGCAGCACCTTATTGGGGGGACCCTCACTGCAAGCAGGCGCGGGCCAAGCCCAGGCGTGCGTGTATCCAGAGGAGCTTTCAGACGGCTATGCCTCGGGCTACAGCTCAGGGGTGCCTCCCAGGGGGCCCAGAGACCGCTTTGCTTCCGCAGCAGCATCTTTTCCAGCAGCGGCGCAGGGGCTTCCCTGGCAGGCAGGGCACGGGCAGGTGCCACCTCCCCCAGTGGTCGCCATCCCGCTGCTGAACCTCTCGGAAACCCCATCGGCGACGGAAGGCTCACTAGAATCCCCCAGTGCGCTGCTGAGCTCCGGGGTGAGTGCGTGCTCCACGCCCAGGGTGGGTGCACCTGGCGCAGGTGCACCTGGTGGCGGCGGTGGCACTGTGAGTGCCTCTGGTGGCGGCGGTGGCAGCCTGCTGGCGCCCATCCACGTGCGCTTCAGCGGCCGCACGGCCTTCCCCCGCAGCGCTGACGTGGGCAGCAGCAGCGGGGGGGAGGGACTGGCAGAGCGGGAGAGGGAGAGGCGGGCGAGAGGAGGTGCGGCAGCAGCAGCGGGAGGAGTGGTGGGAGAGGTGGGGGCGATGGGAGGGATGGGGATGGGGCGGCTGGCGAAGGCGATAGACTGGGTGAGGATGAGCGGGGGAGGGCAGTTTGCAGCGCACATGCCGAGCTTCTACGGTCCACCTGCCAGCCGCACACACGCCCTGCAGAAGAAGGAAGAGGTGCGCCCGCTGTGCCTTGTTGTGCGCCCGCTGTGCCTTGTTGTGCGCCCGCTGTGCCTTGTTGTGTGCCCGCTGTGCCTTGTGTGGCTGCTCTTGTATCTCTTCCACTCTGTGCTCTATGCATTCTCCTCGTTCCTCTAACCTCTCTCCACTTTCCTATCTCTTCTCTCGTCCCTCATCCCTCCTCTCTTTTCTCTCCTACCTCCTCCGTCCTCTGTCCACGCTGCTGGGTGCCTACTGCACGGAGGGGGTGTTCAGGTGCGTGGCATGATTGTTGAACGCGTCTTTCGAGTCTCTGCCTCGCTGCATCTCGTGGAGCTGCTCATTTCTTTGCTCCAATGGACGACCAGACCCCTGGGGCGACTGCATGTGTGCAGGCAGGCGGTCTGTGTGTGTGCAGGCAGGCGGTCTGTGTGTGTGCAGGCATGCGGTCTGTGTGTGTGCTGCTCATCTTCATGCTATGGTCAAGCCACAGGATTTGGAGCTTGTGGCGACAGGAGACAGTGCTGGCAGTGCAGACAGTGCTGGCAGTGCAGGCAGTGCTGGCAGTAATGAGTCAGACGAGGAGCAAGTAAGTGGACAAGCAGGCAAAATCATCGAGTGTGTTTCTCTAGTGTGCCCCACCCCTGGTGTGACAAGCCACAGGTATCACAGTGCATGGCGGCATCTGACAGTGTTGGCGATGATGGGACAGATGAGGAGCACGTGAGTAGACAAGCAGGCAACGTTCATCCGAGTCTGAGTGTGTTTTACATATGTGCCCGCCCCCTCCCCCCCCTTCCCGTCGAGCCACAGGTATCAGAGCACGTGGCAGCGTCGGACAGCGATGACGACGAGGAGCACATGCGGGATGCTGCTGACGTCAGCTCCAACGCTGCTTTCTCCTCCGAAGGCTCCGAGCATGATGAGGAGGTGAGGGGACGAGGAGGTGAGGGGATGAGGAGGTGAGGGGACGAGGAGGTGAGGGGACGAGGAGGTGAGGGGACGAGGAGGTGAGGGGATGAGGAGGTGAGGGGATGAGGAGGTGAGGGGATGAGGAGGTGAGGGGATGAGGAGGTGAGGGGATGAGGAGGTGAGGGGATGAGGAGGTGAGGGGATGAGGAGGTGAGGGGATGAGGAGGTGAGGGGATGAGGAGGTGAGGGGGAGGTGAGGGGATGAGGAGGTGAGGGGATGAGGAGGTGAGGGGATGAGGAGGTGAGGGGATGAGGAGGTGAGGGGATGAGGAGGTGAGGGGATGAGGAGGTGAGGGGATGAGGAGGTGAGGGGATGAGGAGGTGAGGGGATGAGTGAGGGGATGAGGAGGTGAGGGGATGAGGAGGTGAGGGGATGAGGAGGTGAGGGGATGAGGAGGTGAGGGGATGAGGAGGTGAGGGGATGAGGAGGTGAGGGGATGAGGAGGTGAGGGGATGAGGAGGAGGTGAGGGGATGAGGAGGTGAGGGGATGAGGAGGTGAGGGGATGAGGAGGTGAGGGGATGAGGAGGTGAGGGAGGGGATGAGGAGGTGAGGGGAGGTGAGGAGGTGAGGGGAGGAGGAGGTGAGGGGAGGAGGAGGTGAGGGAGGAGGAGGTGAGGGGAGGAGGAGGTGAGGGGAGGGAGAGGTGAGGGGAGGAGGAGGGAGGAGGTGAGGGGAGGAGGAGGTGAGGGGAGGAGGAGGTGAGGGGAGGAGGAGGTGAGGGGGGAGGAGGTGAGGGGAGGAGGAGGTGAGGGGAGGAGGAGTGAGGGGAGGAGGAGGTGAGGGGAGGAGGGGGTGAGGGGAGGAGGGGGTGAGGGGAGGAGGGGTGGTGAGGGGAGGAGGGGTGAGGGGAGGGGGGGTGAGGGGGAGGAGGGGTGAGGGAGGAGGAGGTGAGGGGAGGAGGAGGTGAGGGGAGGAGGAGGTGAGGGGGAGGAGGAGGTGAGGGGAGGAGGAGGTGAGGGGAGGAGGAGGTGAGGGAGGAGGAGGTGAGGGGAGGAGGAGGTGAGGGGAGGAGGAGGTGAGGGGAGGAGGAGGTGAGGGGAGGAGGAGGTGAGGGGAGGAGGAGGTGAGGGGGGGAGGAGGAGGTGAGGGGAGGAGGAGGTGAGGGGAGGAGGAGGTGAGGGGAGGAGGAGGTGAGGGGAGGAGGAGGTGAGGGGAGGAGGAGGTGAGGGGAGGAGGAGGTGAGGGGAGGAGGAGGTGGGGAGGAGGAGGTGAGGGGAGGAGGAGGTGGGGAGGAGGAGGTGAGGGGAGGAGGAGGTGAGGGGAGGAGGAGGTGTGGGGAGGAGGAGGTTGGGGAGGAGGAGGTGTGGGGAGGAGGAGGTGAGGGGAGGAGGAGGTGAGGGGAGGAGGAGGTGAGGGGAGGAGGAGGTGAGGGGGGAGGAGGTGAGGGGAGGAGGAGGTGAGGGGAGGAGGAGGTGAGGGGAGGAGGAGGTGAGGGGAGGAGGAGGGAGGGGAGGAGGAGGTGAGGGGAGGAGGAGGTGAGGGGAGGAGGAGGTGAGGGGAGGAGGAGGTGAGGGGAGGAGGAGGTGAGGGGAGGAGGAGGTGAGGGGAGGAGGAGGTGAGGGGAGGAGGAGGTGAGGGGAGGAGGAGGTGAGGGGAGGAGGAGGTGAGGGGAGGAGGAGGTGAGGGGAGGAGGAGGTGAGGGGAGGAGGAGGTGAGGGGAGGAGGAGGTGAGGGGAGGAGGAGGTGAGGGGGGAGGAGGTGAGGGGGGGGAGGTGAGGGGGGGAGGAGGTGAGGGGGGGAGGAGGTGAGGGGGGGAGGAGGTGTGGGGAGGAGGAGGTGTGGGGAGGAGGAGGTGAGGGAGGAGGAGGTGAGGGGAGGAGGAGGTGAGGGGAGGAGGAGGTGTGGGGAGGAGGGGGTGTGGGGAGGAGGAGGTGAGGGGAGGAGGAGGTGAGGGGAGGAGGAGGTGAGGGGAGGAGGAGGTGAGGGGAGGAGGAGGTGAGGGGGAGGAGGAGGTGTGGGGAGGAGGAGGTGAGGGGATGAGGAGGTGAGGGGATGAGGAGGTGAGGGGATGAGGAGGTGAGGGGATGAGGAGGTGAGGGGAGGAGGAGGTGAGGGGAGGAGGAGGTGAGGGGAGGAGGAGGTGAGTGGAGGAGGAGGTGAGGGGAGGAGGAGGTGAGGGGAGGAGGAGGTGAGGGGAGGAGGAGGTGAGGGGATGAGGAGGTGTGGGGAGGAAGAGGTGAGGGGAGGAGGAGGTGAGGGGATAAGGAGGTGAGGGGAGGAGGGTGAGGGGATGAGGAGGTGAGGGGAGGAGGAGGTGTGGGGATGAGGAGGTGAGGGGAGGAGGAGGTGTGGGGATGAGGAGGTGAGGGGATGAGGAGGTATGGGGATGAGGAGGTGAGGGGATGAGGAGGTGGAGGGATGAGGAGGTGAGAGGATGAGGAGGTGAGGGGATGAGGTGGTGAGGGGATGAGGAGGTGAGGGGATGAGGAGGTGTGGGGATGAGGAGGTGAGGGGATGAGGAGGTGTGGGGATGAGGAGGTGAGGGGATGAGGAGGTGGGGGGATGAGGAGGTGAGGGGATGAGGAGGTGAGGGGATGAGGAGGTGAGGGGATGAGGAGGTGAGGGGATGAGGAGGTGAGGGGATGAGGAGGTGGGGATGAGGAGGTGGCGGGATGAGGAGGTGAGGGGATGAGGAGGTGACGGGTTCAAGAGGTGAAGAGGTGACGGGATGAAGAAATAAGGGGATGAGAGGTAAGCAATGAGGCTGAAAGCATTGTGCTGCGTATGTTGTGCAAGAGGAGGTGGACACATGCAATGCAAGGAGGATGCCCTAGGGCAACTGTAACCTGATGTGCTGTTTTTTGAACTCTATCGGGAACGTAACCTGTGTCCCCACTTGCCATACTCTTGAACTCGGATGCCACGTGCCACAGTCTGTGCTGAGTCTCAGCTCTGACCTGCCCTCTCTGTACCATTGATGCCCCTGACCAAACCATTGATGCCCCTGTCTCTGTCCCGCATGTCCCGCGTGTCCCCCTTGCAAACGCACTGGCCACCAGGAGGGCTCGGTGGCGAGTGACGAGTCGTTCAGCCTGTTGGAGGGCGGCACGGATGATGACGGCATGGGCGAGGGTGACAGCGCACAGCCCACTGACTGTTCTCTTGATCATGCCCCTGGCTCTGTGCCGGATGGCCCCACTCCTACCCATTGTGTGGCAGGAGGGCTCAGTGGCGAGTGACGAGTCGTTCAGCCTATCAGAGGGCGGCACGGACGACGACGACATGGGCGAGGGCGACAGCGCACAGCCGCTCCCCCACCACCTCTCGCTCTCCGCTGCTGCCGTGCCTCCGGGCGGCGAGCTCAACGTGTTCCTTGACGCCGCCAGCCTGCCCCACGTGCTGCCCTCTGCCTCCTACTATGGCACTCACGGCAACCATGCCAACCACACCATTCTCGACGCTCACGGCAATTACGGCATAGTACCCCGTCACAATGAACCTATGGGGCACGGTGCTCTTGGGGTTTGGGTGCAGCACTACACCGCCCTGCAAGAGGGGGCTGCTGGACTAGCAGGCGGGACAGCACCACCGGCAGCAGCAGCTGGTGCTTTGGCAGGCCGGTCGCATTCCTCGCAGCACACTGCCGGCCGTCCTCGCCCCCCACTCCATCTGCACCGCGTTCCCTCGGCACCTGATGGTGTTACAAGTGCTGCTTCAGGTGCCGCTTCCCGTGCCGGCCTGCCTCCCTGGCCCACAGGCCACTCTGCATCGCCTGCCCACTTGCAGCGCCGTGGGGGGGATCTCTTGCCAGCTGCTGCTCCACATGCCTTTCCTCCCATGGCAGTCGCCAATGCAGGTGCTGGGCCCGCTGCAGCTGCTTCATCAGCTGCTGCCACGGCAGCAGCAGGGGCCTCCAGGGCTCAGGGGGGCCGTGAGTGGGGCGCAGGCAGGCGAGCAGGCGCAGGGGCGGGCGTGGTGCTGGGGAGGTCCAAGTCTATGGGTGGGACGAGGGAGAGGGAGGCCGGGGCGAGGGACGTGGGGGAGAGGGAGGCAGGGCGCGTGCGTGCGAGGCCGTGGCGGGCGGGGGCTGCAAGGCGGTTCTCAGACACGGGTGCGGCGAGCACAAGGGGATGGGCCGTGCTGCAGGTGGAGACGACTCTGGAGGGCGGTGGGGGCGGGCAGGGTGGTGCGTTAGTGCTTCAAGAGAGGGAGAGCTTGCAGCCAGGTGGGATTGCAGTGCAGCAAGAGAGACACATGGCACAGCTGCAGCAGCGGCAGCAGCAGCAGCAGCCGTAAACTGGTGGGAAGTAGGTAGAATACTGCTCCGGTGCTTAGGCAGGACACTTAGGGGTAGTATCCGGTAGTTGAAACGGAAGGTAGTTACTGTACAAGTGTCTGCATGCTGCACATTGGCAACCAACGAGACTTGGCACAAGGTGTATACAGTATATGATGTGAGTTCATGGTATTGAGGTGTTGCTTATTTTCTGTAGACCCATGTGCTAGGTTGATAGTCGCCTTGGTTGTAGTGCACAAAATAAAAAACAAGAGGCGACGAAATCGTCTTAGGGTTGCGAAGCAACATTTGTAACATGCGCTAGAACTTTGACTACTCCGTCGTGTTTGGATTATAACGATTTGTGCGATTTCTATGTTTTAAAGTGAATTTAAATTCAGATGTTTTATATGTTAGACGATAGGCAAAACATATTGATGATGGTGTGTTTACATTAGTACAAAAGTTTACACGAGTAATTGTAGTTTTGTTTTCTATGTTTACAGTTCACATATGTTTGTTCATGTATCCAAAGCGACAAATAATATATTTTAACCGAGTTACTGACGTCAGCATTTTTTAGCGCGAACTTTTTGAATGACGTCAGCATCGTTGTCAGAAATTTGTTCGAAGTTTCGAACAGCGCAGCTGACGTCGAAATTTATCACGCGCGTGAGATCGAGCTGACGTCAGTGTCAGAATGTTACTTGTCTAGCCTGCAGTGGGGTACTCAACAGTGAGTACAACCCTTTAGGGTTTCCTACTTGTATCCCAACTCTTGCTAGTTCAACCATCTCATTCTCACCATTCTCCTTCGCATACCCAAAACCCTAGTCCTAGGGCACATCCTACTACCTCTTAGTGTGGGCCTAGGCTACTAAGCCTAGGCCCCACTCCTAGTGATTCTGACATGGTATCTAGAGCGAGTACGTTCCTGCCGCTTACCTCCATGGGCCCACCACCTGCTTCCGCTGCCGTACCGTCCGCCGCGCGCCCCGTGGTGCGCGGCGGCGAAACCCTAATTTTTCATCCCGCCGCGCGCTCGGGGCGTACGGCGGTTTTCTGCCCGCCGTGCGCCCCGAGGCGCGCGGCGGTTTTCTGCCCGCCGTGCGCCCCGAGGCGCGCGGCGGCTTTCTGCCCCGTCACTCCGCGAGTCGCCCCCGGGAGGAGCTGCGACGGGCGACGGGGACCCGCGCGTCGCCCCCCGTCGCCCGTCGTGGCCCGTGCGACCTCCGTAGGGCCCGCGCGCGGCCCGTCCAGCCTGCGCGCGGCCCGTACGGGCTGCGCCAGGCCCGCGCGCGGCCCGTACGGGCTGCGCCAGGCCCGCGCGCGGCCCGTACGGGCTGCGCCAGGCCCGCGCGCGGCCCGTACGGACTGCGCCAGGCCAGGGCGCACCTCGAGCCGCCCGCCACTGCAGCAGCAGCCCCTGGAGCCGCCCGCCACTGCAGCAGCAGCCCCTGGAGCCGCCCGCAACTGCAGCAGCAGCCCCTGGAGCCGCCAGCACCTGCAGCAGCAGCCCCTGGAGCCGCCCGCAACTGCTGCAGCAGCCCCTGGAGCCGCCAGCAACTGCAGCAGCAGCCTCTGAAGCCGCCAGCCACTGCAGCAGCAGCCTCTGGAGCCGCCAGCACCTGCAGCAGCAGCCCCTGGAGCCGCCAGCAACTGCAGCAGCAGCCTCTGGAGCCGCCAGCACCTGCAGCAGCAGCCCCTGGAGCCGCCAGCACCTGCAGCAGCAGCCCCTGGAGCCGCCCGCAACTGCTGCAGCAGCCCCTGGAGCCGCCAGCAACTGCAGCAGCCGCCCCTGGAGCAGCCGCCCCTGCAGCAGCCGCCCCTGGACCTCCGAAGCCGCCCCTGGACCCGGTACGCTCTGCTGCTGCCCGATGCTGCCTGTGCCTGTGCCTGCTCGTGCCTTGTGCCTCGAGCCTACTACCTACCTGCCTGTGCCTGTGCCTGTGCCTCTGCCTGTGCCTGTGCCTGTGCCTGCTCGTGCCTTGTGCCTCGAGCCTACTACCTACCTGCCTGTGCCTGTGCCTGTGCCTGCTCGTGCCTTGTGCCTCGAGCCTACTACCTACCTACCTGTGCCTGTGCCTGTGCCTGTGCCTCTGCCTGTGCCTGTGCCTGTGCCTGCTCGTGCCTTGTGCCTCGAGCCTCGTGCCTACCTACCTACCTGCCTGTGCCTGTGCCTGTGCCTCTGCCTGTGCCTGTGCCTGTGCCTCGTGCCGTGTGCCTCGTGCCTCGTGCCCGCGCCCTCGTGCGCTCTGCTACTGTCTGCGCCCTCGTGCGCACTGTTCTGCTCTGCCCCCCCCCCCCCCCCCCCCCACCACAAGGGGTGTGTGGGGGTGGCGGGTGTGGGGGTGCTCCGTTTGCGTCGCCCCTTTCCTCCTCCTCCTCCTTCCTCGTCTCCCACTGCTGCAGCTGCCGCTGAGGGGGGTGGATGTGTGGGAGCCGAGGGTTTAGGGTTTCAGGAGTGAAGGGGGAGTGGAGCTAGGGGTGAAGCAGTGGGTGTGTGGGGGGTGTGTGGGACAGTTGGGGGAGGTTGAGCCGAGGCTGCCGTCTTGTCGTCTGCAGCACCTGAAGTCCGGGGCTCTGTCTCGGTAGCGCAGAGTGAGTGCTACACCAGTCGCCCGTGGGTCCGATGCTCCTGCCGCAGCTGCAGAGCCTGTTACTCCTGTATTCCGGGGTGCTTACCTCGGTAGCCACTGAGAGCTTGTGCTGCACCAGTTATCTGAGTCAGCCGCCATGTGTCAGCCGCTCCTGTTGCCCGTGTGACTGCAGCTCCAAACGACGTCTCCTATCTTCTCTCCCCTCACAGTCTCTCCTCCTCCTCACTTGCCCGTTGTGACTACCACTAGCTTTGCTCATAGTTGTGAACTTTAAACTGTTGCTTCTTGAACTTGTGCTCAGAATGTGTGGTGACATTGTGATCCACCCTGAGCTTGTTCTACTTTGCTTGCTCTGCTGATTGCACCCCACTTTGGCTATGGGGGTGTGTCAGAATGTTACTTGTCTAGCCTGCAGTGGGGTACTCAACAGTGAGTACAACCCTTTAGGGTTTCCTACTTGTATCCCAACTCTTGCTAGTTCAACCATCTCATTCTCACCATTCTCCTTCGCATACCCAAAACCCTAGTCCTAGGGCACATCCTACTACCTCTTAGTGTGGGCCTAGGCTACTAAGCCTAGGCCCCACTCCTAGTATTTCTGACAGTCAGCAGCGTCGTCAGAAACCAGCACGAAAGTCCGAACGGCGCTGCTGACGTAGGTGAAATTCCAGCTTGTTTGTGAATGTTAAATTATTGTTTGAAGTTGCACGTTTAATTTCAGTTCTTTTTCTTTCAAGCTATATTGTACTATCCAATCCAGTTATAAAATTTTTATTTACGTATGTCACTTCTGTGCACAATAACGAAATAAAACATTACTATGATTTTGTTTTTTATAATATTATGCGTCGTCGATTACATTTACTGTTATGTTCTAACTCTTCGTTTGTATTTAATGCGTTGAGGGTTTAGGGTTTTGTTTTTGTTTTTGACTTTTTGTAAGACTTAAAAAAAATATATTCTCTAATGGCTCGGTTTTCGTTTCTATTGTAGAAACAAAACTTTTTTATTACTGGTTTGTTGTTCCAATATCGGAAACGTAGTGTACTGCGCGAAAATTTCGCTCGCTTCGTGCTTTGTGCGCTGCTGCCGATGCCAGCAGTGTCAGGGGCTTGCCACGCGCGAGATTTGGGGTGGTGTGGCAATGCCCACTAGGCAACATTGGGAAATCCGATTCCCCCAAAATGAAATTGGATTCTCTTCACGTGACAGATCTCGCTGCTTCTCACGGAAGTCGTTTTTTACAGTTGTAACTGTAAAATGTGAGGTCAAATTTACTGTAACCTTTAATGCTGCCACCTTTCATGCTGCCACATTTAATGCTGCCACCTTTCATGCTGCCACCTTTAATGCTGCCACCTGCTGCTTTTGTTTATTGTTCAATTTGTTCTTAGGACCATCATCAACCTATCTCATCATGGCATAGCATCTCATGAAATCTGTGGAATGAAGGGGAAGGCTTTGCTCTCTTCCTAGACCTAGCATATTGTCATTCTCTCCTTTCACATTGATTCTTCCTACTCCAAGGTTGAATCATCGCTTTCATTCTTACCACTACTTCCTTAGTAAGTCAATCACAGATTTTCTAGCACTCTCTCATTGCTTCTTTCTCAGGCTACGTTCTCCTTCTATTCAGGGTATGCAACTTTAGAGGAACTTTCTCCTGCTTTGGATGTTTATCCTTTATTTTTTTCCAATACTTTCCTTGATTTTTTAGCAATATCTTAACTTCATTCTTGATGTTTGCTCAACTGTCTCATTCGTTCTCACCCATTGTCTACGTTCTTATATGGGTTGGATGTTTGACTGTTCTGTTTTTTTTTTTTTTTCTAGGGACCACCCTGTTAGGCTTTCAGTATCTGTACTACGAGAAAACAGAGCTGAGATTTTCAACATCTTCAGGTATAACCGTTTCTGGCATTTTCATAGCATTTTTTTGTCAAGCATGTTAAAAAAATAAAACAACGCACATCTTGGTATCTTTGTGTGCTCTTTACTTTGTTACACGGTTCTCTCATATAGGATACCTTCTATTTCCTTTGTATGCATTGATCATCCCCTGTTTATTCATTCGATTTTTTTTTTTCAGGGACAACTCCAAGCTTTCATTACCCTCTGTCATTTGAGCCAACTAAGATTTCTCATTATCTGGAGGTACCTAACTTATATTCATGTCAAGTTTTGTTACCTCACACTCACAATTTAAAAACTATATTATAATATGTTCATGTTTTTTTTTTACAAATCCATCAAAGCTGTGGTTCATTGTGTTATCAAACTCCAGAGTGTGGTTATAACTATAATTTGCAAGTATAGCTATGTAATGAAAATTTTGTGGCATGTTTGTTTAGTTTTTAAAGGTACAACTAATGTGTATTTTTATTGCTTGTTTGATGCTGTTTTTTCAGATCTTTTGACAA